AGATGGAGTTTCACCATGTTGGCCAGGATGGTCTTGATCTCTTGACCTCGTGATCCGCCTGCCTCAGCCTCCCAAAGTGGTGGGATTACAGGCATGAGCCACCGTGCCCAGCCTTTCTGTTCATTTAAAAGTAGGTGACAGTACAATGGTGGGTGCCAAGATCAGCAGGCAGCAGAGAAATACTCTGGTCGGAACTGCCCTTTAAGGAGAGAAGAGGAACGGGTGGGTGTGGGCCGGCACGGGGGAAAGAAAATGCCAATCCTCCCTCTGGCACTTCTGGAGGAATCTAGGTCTCCTAGCTGCTAGCTCGCCCTTCCCCACCATTACACCAGATGGCGTCTCTTTCAGAAGCCAGACGAGGAAGAGCCAAGGAATCTGTGACCCACTAACATGACTCTAGGTGCTAAACAAGAAGTTTCTCCAGCAGAAGGAAAGGTCCAAGGAACGACAAACACAAATAACAGTAACTCCTAAAATGGAGACAATGTAGACATCACCTGACAGTCAAAGAGGTGTACTTATCCTCTATCATGAGCCTGGAACATACCACATGACATTAGGCTGCCTCCATTCATTTGCGGAAGGAAATACAAGATTGCTTCGTCATTAGAGGATGCACGCACCTGGGAAGTGGGAAATCATGCAGATATAACAAAAGGTGCAAGGAGGCTGTGTTCCTCCATGCTGTGCTGCATTTGTCAAAGGTACTGATGAAAATAATGGAAAAGATGAAATTGCCTACTAATGTATGAAAAATGTTCATCCTTACCAGTAAAGAAAAATGCAGGTCAGACCAGGCGTGGTGGCTCACACCTGCAATCCCAGCATTTGGGAGGCTGAGGCGGGCAGATCACTTGAGGTCAGGAGTTCCAGACAGGCCTAGCCAACATGGCGAAACCTTGTCTCTACTAAAAATACAAAAATTAGCCAGGCATGGTGGTGGGCGCCTGTAGTCACAGCTACTCAGGAGGCTGAGGCAAGGTAATCGCTCGAACCCAGGAGGCAGAGGTTGCAGCGAGCTGAGACAGTGCCACTGCACTCCAGCCTGAGTGACAGAGCAAGACTCCATCCTCCCCAAAAAAGAAAAATGCAAATCAAAATGTTTTCCCTTCTCTTGTGTTTACAAAGATTAATGAGAGTATTAATGCCTAGTGCTTATGAAGTCTGAGGGGTGGGCAACTGTCTCTTGCTGGACAGCGTGTAAACCAGGACGTTCATGCTAGAAGGCATTTGGCGAGACTTCCCAAAACTTTATTTTCTAATTTTTATTTATTTATTTTTTGAGACGGAGTTTTACTCTTGTTGCCCAGACTGGAGCATAATGGTGTACATCTCGGCTCACTGCAACCTCTGCCACCTGGGTTCAAGTGATTCTCCTGCCTCGGCCTCCCAAGTAGCTGGGATTATAGGCATGTGTCACCACGCCCAGCTAATTTTGTCTTTTTTTTTTTTTGAGATGGAGTTTCCCTCTTGTTGCCCAGAGTGGAGTGCAATCGTGCAATCTCAGCTCACCGCAATCTCCGCCTCCTGGGCTCAAGCGATTCCTGCTTCAGCCTCCCGAGTAACTGGGATTACAGGTATGCGCCAACATGCCCGTCTAATTTTATATTTTTAGTAGAGACGGGGTTTCTCTATGTTTGTCAGGCTGGTTTTGAACTCCCAACCTCAGGTGATCCGCCTGCCTCAGTTTCCCAAAGTACTGGGATTACAGGTGTGAGCCACCGCATCCGGCCTAATTTTGTCTTTTTAGTAGAGACAAGGTTGGCCGGGCTGGTCTCGAACTCCTGACCTCAGGTGATCTGCCCACCTTGGCCTCCCAAAGTGCTGGGATTACAGGCATGAGCCACCATGCCTGGACCCAAAACTTGAAAAGCACATATATTGTTTGACACAGAAACATGCCCAAGGAAAATAACTGGACAAGCATACAAATGTGGACACATGAGATACAAAGTACACATACACATAAAAATACAAGAATGCCCTCCACCACATGAGGGTAATCGTGGAAAATGGGACAATCAACATGTTTCCAAGTAGATGGTGCTTACATCATGGCATATCTTTGCATGGTCCTCAGCAGACTACCTTAGCCACATAAATATTGGAAGGTTCATACTTCCCTTTTTTTTTTTTTTTGAGACAGACTCTTGCTCTGTCACACAGGCTGGAGTGCAGTGGTGCAATCTTGGCTCACTGCAACCTCTGCCTCCTGGGCTCAAGCCTCAGCCTCCCAAGTAGTTGAGACTACAGACACATGCCAACAAGCCAAGCTAATCATACACACTGTATGATTTCATTTACATGACGCTCAAAAACAAAAGTGGACTTCATATCTATTCTTAAGTTCAGGGACTGCAGGGAGGGGCCTTTCGGTGCTGACCACATTTTCTTTCTCGGTCTGGCACTGGGAACCGTGCATGCACGTGTGTAACAGCTCATCAAGCTGCATCTGTGCATCTGCACATGGTACCGTCAGTAGACTTGGACCTTGGCTGAAGCAAAAGCTTATTCGTCAGTGGGCTGTAGGGCCTCCAGTCCATGCAAAGGAGGCCACTGCCTGCTGAACCAGAATGGACAACTAACTGTTCCCCCTCATGAAAGCTTCAAACCAGGGTACTCTCACACTGTATGCACACATCCAAACTAGCTGATGTCTCCCACCCCTGACTCAACAAGACACTCATTCAATCCCAGGGGATGTAGGAGGTCAGGTTCTGGATCTTACCATCTGACACTGAGAAGTTATTTCCTCATAATGGGGCATGGCTTTCTTATCTGAAAATGAGGGCAGGATTAACTGAGTTACCTGTGATTCTCTGGTGAATTTAATAAAATAACTAGTAGTTTTTACTTAATTTAAGCACTAGCTCTGAAAGGGCCTTTTTTTTTTTTGCCCTCAAGGTAACTGCATATACAAGTAAAATAAAGCCTAACTCCCACATCCTGGAGGCAGGTGAGGTAAGTTCAGATGGAAATGTTAAACTCAGCTCACGGTTCTTGGGTGTAAACAGTTTCGTAAACATTTGCCGGGCGCTTACGATGCCTCAGGCCCTGTAATCATCACTCAACACTGCCACGGTTAAGATGCTTCCTTACGATGCTATCCAAGTACTAAGCAGAAAGTCCACAAACTTTGGAGCATTGTCAAGAAGGGAAAGCCGCAAGTACCTGCTCTATGCACGACCCATGGGAAGCATGTTCAAAACATGTTCTTTATTTACTTAAAAAAACCACAAAACTCTCCGAGAGAGAGAGAGAGAGAGAGAGAGAGAGAGTGTATGTGTGTGTGTGTAAGAGACAGGCTCTCACAATGCTGTCCAGGCTGGACTCAAACTCTTGGACTCAAGTGATTCTTCTACCTCAGCCTCACGATCTGCAGGCATAATGCACCACCATGCCCAGATTTCCTAGAGCTTAAAGCGGGTCCTAAAGCTCCAACATATCAGGCTCTGTACACACCTTTTTTTTCTTTTTTTTTTTTTGTAGAGACAGGGTCTTGCTATGTTGCCCAGGTTGGTCTTGAACTCTGGACCTCAAGTGATCCTTCTTCCTTGGTCTCTCAAAGTGTTAGGATTACAGGCCTGAGCCAGCACGCCTGGTCCCAGGACATATTTAAATGCCACAGCCCTCCAGGTCCTGAGTACTGTGTCTCTTCATTTCCCACCTCAATTCTGGTAGCAGTAACAGCAGCAGCAACAATAATGATCGTAATAATACTCACAAATGCTAATAGAGTTGTTACTAGGCCAGGCAACCTAAGAAACATTTTACATTCTAGTTCATTTAAATGTAAAAACAACCCTATGTCCCCCCATTTTATAGGTAAGGAAATTGAGGCACAAAAACATTCAGTAACTTGCTCAAGAGTTCCTCTGCTAGCATATGTCAGAACCAGGACTCGAACTGACCAGTGTGACTCCATGCCTGGTTCTTAACCACCAAGTTCTCCCAAGGTAGGCTCTCCAGCCAACGGCAGGACCATAACCCAGGCAATCAAGACACCCAACCTGCGAAAGCCTTGTTTCTCCCTCCAAAGCTACCACTGCAAACGTCCAATAAAAGCCACATGTAATTTTGCTTCTTTGCTTTAACTGCCCTGTTGAAAAACTTTTTGCTAGCCCCTCTCCCATGGTCTACCCTAAGTATCAAGCCAGCCCAACGTCTTCCAGCATTTGGGGCCTTTCACTGTGCAAGCCCCAGCGCCGTTCCAATTTCATTTCCAATCTCTTTCCTATCGGCACTCCAGGCCCCAGAAATGCTGCATCGCCCTCTTCCCAGCACACGTGGGCTCACTCCGGCCCTTCTGCCTTCGCTGCTTTTCCTGCCTGCGATGCCCACTCCAGCCTCTGCCTGTGACCTGCTCACCCAGAACTCCGGCTCAGACGGCACCACCACTGTGGAAGTCTCCCTTGGCGGCTCTGACGAGCAGTTACTTACATCCTATTCTGTGGTCCCTAAGTACCTTACATGTACCTTTATTAAAACACTTACTGCAATACATTCCACTTAGCTGTTTGAGAACCTGTCTACCCTGAAAAACTAAGAGCCTTGAGGGAAGGCCGCTGTTCACTTCTTATCTATTTTGCCTACACAGTTTCTTGCCCTAAGTATTTAATAAACTTTTGTTAAACATATGAATGAATAATTAAATTCAAAAATAAAGTCTTGATTGTTTTCTCCCATCTCTCTCAAACGATTGTTCTGGAATACGGAAACAGGATGGCAAGTTTAAAACAGATCTGGATATGTAGCTTCAGGGACACATCTGTACAAATCTATATCTCACAAGTGGCAAAGAGATACAAACTCCATTCTTTCCTCCTCTGAACTGTTGTATCTCTAAATCTAGAGGCAGGCAGCAGCTTTCTCTGAGAACACATGCAACCTCAGCTCAATGCAGTGACAGTGCTAGGACACCCGGAGAGCCCGAGCTGTGGGAGGGCAGAGGTAGAACAAGAGAGGGTCTCGGCATCAGGCCAAGACAAAGTCCTACTTACCTCCTTCTTGGGAATTCATGATGTTCAGGGCAAACAACATTGCATTGGAGAACGTGGTTGCCTCTTCTTTACTTGCAAAGTTTAAGCCGTAGACCTGGCGGGCATCTCGCCACTGGTGGAAGGTTGGCGTGGCCTGATTGTACTTCAGCCCTTTCACGATTGAATAATTGATCACAACCTGGAGGAGAAAGGAGAGAGAAATACGTGTAAATAAATAAAATGTAAGTGAGCTGGAGGGCGCTGCGATGGGGCAAGTATACTATATCCTTGAGAGGACAGGAAGATGAGGATGGGGTTTGAATAAGAGAAAAGCAGTATCAGGTAGATTTTCAGACCATAATATATAGAACAGTGAGGGTTTGCAAAACCTGTTCTTTCCTTTCACTAACAATGCTATGTAGTTACAACCTCCAGATGAATAGCTGAGCTCGGAGGCAGGTTCCCTGGGCTCTGGTTTGGCCCTGCCTCTCAGCCACTCCACTCATGGCAGTCACTGTACTTCGCTGGGGCTCAGTTTCTCCAGTTATAAGATGGGGATAATAATTCTGACTTTATCAATCTAATGAGTTACTGCGAAGATCACACTGTGATACGTATCTTATCTACATTTTATTTATAGCTTACCTTCTAGATATAAAGCTCCTAAGGGCAAGTCTTCTATAATTCATATTTATGCCTCCTATAGCCCTCTGCACAGTGTCCAATACTTCGAATGCATTAATAAGTGAGTTATTTGTCGAAAGCATAACTTGGGAAAGTTTATGTACCACACATGTATACAGCATTATTCATACCTTCATTATTACTCAATCAAAAAGCATCAACTACTGCCAGGAGCAATGCCAGGCCCAGCAGGGAAGGATACAGAGACAACAGAATCCAGACATTCAGGTGCTTATAAGCTGCCAGGGGATGCAACACCAGGTCTGCCTGACCTCTAAACTTCTGCTCTTTTAGACATTTAAAAGTGGATTATTTCAAAGTACTTTAAGACTATATTCCTAAGTGGTGCCCTGGAGGAAAAGATGCTGGGGCTGGAGCCCTAATTCTGCTTCCCACCCCTTCTAGCTCAAAGCCACATGATCTAACATCACCACACTCATGAATGATCGGTTTTTTGGTCTGTCAAATGGAGAAGAATGTGATATGGCTACGGCATGGCACCCTCACAGTGTGTTGTGAGGATTAAATTACATATGAGAAAGTAACTGACACAGCTCCTGGCACAAGGTAGGCTGTCAGTAACTGAACCGAGAAATATGATGATCTCTATGAATGGAAGCATGCAAGCAGAGTCTGGATGAGGCCGGAGCACCAGCTCTTAGAGACGTCATGGAAAGGATTTTGCTTTAGAAGTAAGTACAAGATGATTTCTCAGATTTTGTCTGGCTTTGAAGTTGCAAGGACTGTGTGATCTGAGGTTGGGGATAACTCTCTCTATGCTGATTTCTTACTTTCCTCTACTGCTCCACACAGCTGTGCTGCTGGATAAGGTAAAGCCAGGGGACAGCAAACATGAGTGACATCCAGAAAAGCTGTTTTCCAAGTCTTGGGTGGAAGGTGGGCTTGGGTCTTCCTATGACAGGCAGAGGCAGGGAAAAGGGGAAACACACACACAGTACACTAAATCAGCTAAAGAAGTGTAACTGAGGCCGGGCATGGTGGCTCACACCTGTAATCCCAGTACTTTGGGAGGCCAAGGTGGGAGGATCACCTGAGGTCAGAAGTTCAAGATCAGCCTGGCCAATATGGCGAAACCCTGTCTCTACAACAAATACAAAAATTAGCCGAGAATGGTGGTGGGTGCCTGTAGTCCCAGCTACTTGGGAGGCTGAGGCATGAGAATCGCTTGAACCCAGGAGGTGGAGGTTGCAGCGAGCCGAGATTGTGCCACTGCACTCCAGCCTGCATGACAGAGCCAGACTATGTATCAAACACCACCACCACCACCACCACCTGTAACTGTTTCACAATTTAACTGTCACATTTCACAGGCACATATTTTGGCCAACATCTACACACAAGTTCCAGGGTGGTTCTCTATTTTTTTGCTCTATAAATTCACATGCACGCACCGCTCAAACAAAAGATCTGGACTGTGGGAGACTAGGTTTAGTTATAGGTCATCAGAAAAATGACTAATAAGAACTAGTAAATAATAACTAGTAACTAATAACTACCAGAGAATAAGAACTAGCAAAGTTAACAGTTGTTAAAACAGCTCTTTAGATTACAGGACACATTAATATTGGTACAGTGACCAGAATGAGGGAAGAGAAGAAGCTGCTCCATTCTGCCCTAGTAAATCCCTATCAGAAATTCTGTGTTCAAGTTTTTTTTGTTTTCATTTTTGGTGTTGCATTTCTAGTGGACAGTAGCGAACTGAAGCAAGCCAGGGGAAAATGCTTTAAAAATCGAAGAAGGTCTCAAAACCACCTTATATCAGGAATGGTTAAGAGATACTGAAGCAAGATAAAACATGCTTTAGTGTCTCCCGACTACTGTCTCCAGATATTTGAGGAGATATTCTGCGGAAATGAAATTTAGAACCCTAGGATTTGATTTTTAAAAAAAAGTTTTTAGTATGGTTTTTTTTTTTTTTTGGATGGAGTCTTGCTCTGTTGCCCAGGCTGAAGTGCAGTGGCGTGATCTTGGCTCACTGCAACCTCTGCCTCCCGGGTTCAAGCGTTTCTCCCGCCTCAGCCTCCTGAGCAGCGCCCGCCACCACACCCAGCTAATGTTTTTGTATTTTTAGTAGAGATGGGTTTTCACCATGTTAGCCAGGATGGTCTTGATCTCCTGATCTCGTGATCCACCCACCTCAGCCTCCCAAAGTGCTGGGATTACAGGCATGAGCCACTGCACCTGGCCTTTAGTATGTTTTTTTTTAAGATAGTGTCTTGCTCTGTCGCCCAGGCTGGAGTGCAGTGGCACAATCTTGGCTCACTGCAGCCTCCACCTCCTGAGTTCAAATGATCCTCCTGTCTTAGCCTCTGAGTAGCTGGGACTACAGGTGCATGCCACCATGCCCCAGCTAATTTTTTTTTTTTTTTTTTTTTCCAGTAGAGTCGGGATTTCACCATGTTGGCCAGGCTGGTCTCGAACGCCTGACCTCAAGTGATCCTCCCACCTTGGCCTCCCAAAGTGCTGGGATTACAGGCACGAGCCACTGGACCCGGCCTAGAACTCTATGATTTGAGATCTCTGGTTGGCTACACTCTTAGAGGGGAACTTAAGGTGAGTGAGAATTTTTTTCCCCCAAACCTCAAAGTGGCTCCTGGGGAAAATGAGAATTGAGGGGCAGCTGATGCCTAATCCAGAATATGGATAGTATGGCTAGCAGATAATCATTGAAGGGGCTAAACAGCACCTTAGGGATTATCTAACTCAATCCGCTCTTTTAACAGTAGGGAAATGAGGTCCAGGGAGAATGAGTGACTCGTCCAAAGTTACACAGTAAGCTAATGGGAACATTGGATTTAGAAGCTGAGGACTTTGAGATTTTTTTTTCCAGTATGGTAGTCCCCGCTTATCCATGCAGAACTGGTTCCAAGACCCCCAGTGGATGCCTAAAATGTGGGTAGTACAGAACCCTATATAGACTATGTTTTTTCCTATACATACATACCTATGATAAAATTTAACTCATAAATTAGCCATAGTCAGAGACTAACAACAATACCTAATAATAAAATAGAACAATTATAATGTTTGGAACGGCACATAATTTAAAATTTATGACTTGTTTATTTCTGTAATTTCCCATTTAATATTTTTAGCCTGCAGTGGACTTGGGTATGTGAAACCTCAGAAAGCAAAGCCACAGCTAACAGGGGTACTGTTGTATAATGAGCTGAAATCCTTCTTCCTAGAATTCCCTCTCTGGTCCTAGCACTAAGCTTTGAAGCCTCACAAATCACTTCGAACTGCAGCAGGTTTTAGGATTTGGACTGGGAGAGTGCAGTGAAGCCTTTCTAGAGGATGCATCCCTGTTCTGTAAGTTCTCTGGGCTCTGCCACACATGGCTGGTCGCTGATTGAGGGCTCCTGGCCCTGCCGTTTCTGTTCTATCTGTAACCGCAGTACAAAGGCTGCTCACCAAGTGCTGCTGTTTGGTGTCTACACACAGCCCCCAACAGTCTACAACTGCTTTGAAGACAAGCATACTAGGTACAAGGAATGAGCAGAGGGTTTTACGTCAGAGGGTACTGCATTAAAACCCTGGCTTTATTACTTTTCAGTTGTATAACCTTAGACAAGTTGCTCGTATCAGTTTCCTCATATGTAAGATGAAGATAATATTATAAATAACACTGCACTGAATATTCTTGTGAAGATGTATTTTTACAGGATATATCCCTGTAAGCCAAACGGCCAGAGAGATGTGAGCATTACAAAATTTGTATTTATTATTTGAAAACTGACTTCTAAAACAGGAGTCCAGTGCAATGTGTTTTGGATGTATGTGCGGTGACAAAAGGCCAATGTCACTTGACCATCTGTTGAGGCGGCCAGTGTTTCTTAATTGCCAGACCTGACCAGCCAACAGCTAAAATCTCAGTACCTAATGGTTCCACCTCTTCGTTTACTCTGCTTAGAGTGAGTCAGAGTATCCACCTGAACACGTGCATTTTTGCAAGTCCACTTTTGGGTGAGGCTGCTTCATTTAGTACCCATCACCCAACACTCACCTGTAGAGATAACCATGTTTCTTATTTCTAGCACCATTGGCAAAATGTCTGTTCTTTTTTTTTTGAGATGGAGTTTCGCTCTGTCACCCAGGCTGGAGCGCAGTGGCGCGATCTCGGCTCACCGCAAGCTCCGCCTCCCGGGTTCACGCCATTCTCCTGCCTCAGCCTCCCGAGTAGCTGGGACAACAGGAGTCCACCACTACGTCCGGCTAATTTTTTGTATTTTTTAGTAGAGACAGGGTTTCGCTGTGTTAGCCAGGATGGTCTCGATCTCCTGACCTCATGATCCACTTGCCTTGGCTTCCCAGAGTGCTAGGATTACAGGCGTGAGCCACTGCACCCGGCCGTGTCTGTTCTTAAGCTACACAGAAATGGACTCCTGTGGTATATGGTATGTACTCTTTTGTTTCTGGCTTACTTCCTTCAACACAGTGTTTATGAGATTCACCATGTTATTGCATATATCCATATTTCATTCTTTTTCCTTT